TTATGGTTGGGGGGTCACCACAACAGGAGGAACTGTATTAAAGGGTCACGGCATGAGGAAGGTCGAGAACCGCTGCCTCAGGTGGTCCCCGGCTGCAGATGGAGTCCCGAGGTGGCCCGCCCCGCTTTGGCCTGCCCCAAGGCACCTGCTTTCCGTTTCTGTCTCCCACCATGCCACAGCACAGAGCAGCCTGGGCTCGGAGTCACCGGGCGTGAACGCCATGAAGCAGTCTTGGAAAGATGGGGTTCACCCTAAAACGCTGACAAGGCTGGCCAGTTGTGGCTTAAACCTCGTTGGCTTTCCTCTGGGGCACCACGCAGAATCAAAGAGGGCCACCGCAACCCTTGAGGCGGACCAGGCAGAAGCACAGGCTGACCCAGCTGATAAGGGGGGCCCCTAGGGAGGGGCAGGTGGCCCTGCTCCTGCAAGGGCAGGAGACATGGTGGCAGAGCAGGAGCCCAGCACGCCAGGCGGTGGTCTGGGCAGATGCTTTCAAAGCCTCCATCACGTCCACTTCACAGAGATTGCAGGGCTTCAATGTATCAGGCCCTTCGAATTGCATAGCCCACAGTCAAAGTGGGTGTGAGCTGTGACTCAAGATCTCGGGGAACCAAGTGCTGTTTCCAGTGGCTGGGTTTTCAGAAGTAGTTGCCAGGCCTTCCTTCCAAGGCTCCCTCTGGCTAGACTCCCACCTCCAACCTTGCAGTTAACAGCCTTGTGTACTGCCTCTTGTACCAACAAGGGACTTCCAGACAAGGGTTCAAGGTCGACGAGAAAACGAACACTGTCCTAGGGCCCAGGTGGACCCTTTCTCTCCAGGACCATCTGGGAAGGGCACTCGGTTTCAGAGACTGGAACATTGGATAACGTTAACGTTGTGATCGCAGGTAATAAAAATCCCAGAGAGCCTTCCACAGCCACTCTCTTTTGGGGGAATGAGGCGCACACACACACACACACACACACACACACACACTGTCCCTGAAGGTGCTTGGGCTGTGGCTGACCAGCCTGGCTGGGGTCACCCGTGGTGCCCAGGCCTGAAAATAAAGAGGTTTGAGCTTTCCTCAGAAAATGTAAGTCTGTCCAAAGATCAAGCACTTGAACAGCAAGGTGCGAATAACCTTTGCCTCGCCGTTTTTCCATTACTAGCCGGTTTCCTCTCATTTGCCCCCCTTCCACAGTTTCCAAATGCACTCTTCGGAACACACCCTGCATTTATCGCTGGTCTGCCATACACGTGGGTTAATGTTTCCTGGGACTAGCTATCTCTAATGAGAGATTTCACGCTTCCCATGGAGGCGAACCCTCAAGCTTGGGAGTCTGACAGTAACAAGAAACATCAGACACAGGAGGTGTGCTGGGTGGCAGTGAGGGATTTCCATTGTCCCAAAGAAGAATTTGGAAGAGGATTGTTTGGCAGTCTCTTAAGCAATCGATTGCTCCTTTCAAGGGAAAAACCCAGATGAAAGCAAATCCAATGATGCTTGGCATCAGAATTTAGGCTTCTGGGAAATGTCACATCTCCGGTCTCCTATTTTTCTCTTTACCTGTAGACTCAAACAACTGCGGTGGAGGCAGGAAATCTACCACTGGATATTCTCACGGCACATGAACTACAAAATACATGGCATGAGTGATACATACTCAGCGACGTCCTATACCAGACGGCTTCAAAAAGATAGTGGGAAAATCCCATTCGTCCTCAATTCTATTTTTCCACAGACTTTCTGAAGCCCCTCGTATACTGTATATGCCACATTCTGGATAGGCACTATCTAACACATGTTCTGTTGCATGCTACCTAGTTATTTCGAGCACCTGTCATTGTAGAAGGAGGCCGGGTGGCACAATGGTGAAGTGCTTGCCTACTAGCCCAAAGATCTCGTTTGCATTCTCAAGCTGCTCTCCTCTGGGGAGGGGGAACCTGGTGATCTGATCCCATGAAGATTACAGCCCAGACACAGAAAGACAAGAGAGCTAGATTCCAGGAGTTTGCAGGTACATGACTGTTTTTTATGTCACCCTGCTAATAAAAATCTTCTCTAATAAAGTGTTTGGTTGTGGGACAAAAGGAACAAAGAAACAATGATCATAGCAGCAAAAGACCCCATGGGGCAGTTCTACTCTGTCAACTAGATTTGCTGGGAGTTGAAATCAACTTGATGACATCTACGACCCAATGACATAGTTGTATACCTGTGGTTATATTCAGATCATACACAGATATTGAGATTTTTCCATCTCAGTTCAAGAACTGTAATAGCCACCACGTTGATTCTCGTTCGTAAGTGGGTAGACTGGAAGACAGGCCATGTGATTATGTAAGAGAAAGTCCGTGTTCGTAAGGAGACAGGTGTGAGGGGCGAGGGTTAAGTCAAAAAGTATTGCCACTATGGTTCTAGTTCATACACGCCAGGGCTTATTCCAAACAAAACATATTTAAACGTGTCTCTGAGACCAGTGGATGGCTGCAGATAAGTTCTCTCAGTAATATACTTGTTTTAGTCTCGTAGGGTATCTTAAAAAAAAAAAGTCCAGTCAAAACAGTGGCTTCTGAAGGGATCTCTTGGGCCAATGCAAGTCAAGGCATTAGAAGGCAGCTCAGACAGTTAGGAAACTTCTTGGTATTCTAAAGGGGTGGTAGGTCTTCTCAAAGGGCACAGAACAATCATGGGGCGTTATTAAGAAGTTTCACGAAAACTGAAGATTGTATTGGTGAGAAAAAGGCCGGGACAGGTACACTGAGGATTCCCCCCCACACACACTCCCAATCGTGACAACGCCCCTGCTCATTCTTTGAGAGCAGCAAAGCTGTTCTATGAGAATTTCCCTGGGAAATCTTCCCCTTTTCACCCTCCGACCTTGACCTTGTCTCTTCAGACTTCTCTTTGTTTCCCAAAGGCAAAGAACATTGAAAAAGAACACGAATGATCCGAGTCCCCCGAGGGTGCCCAGACTGCCGTTCTGCCATGCTGAAAACCCAAGAATTCTTTGGGGAAAGGGTTAGAGAGATGGAAACACCACCATAGACCTAGATAGAGGATAGATAAGTCAAAAAAGAATTGCTTCCCATTGTGATGTTTTTGTCTAATGTAAGTTTCGCTATTATGTAGAGTTGCTATACGTTGGAATCAACTCAATAGCAATGAGTTTTTTTGTATATAATTTTGTAGTAATATCTTTTAATTGCCCTTGTGTTTAGGGCATATTTACTGTAACTAATTCTCAAATGGTCTGAGGGGCGGGGGTTATGGGGACTGGGAATGTTTGTCTGTAGTTAGCACACAAATGTAAGCACGTTAATCACTAGTTAAATAAATAACAGACTCTGCCACCAAGTCAATTCGGACTCATGGCCACTCTATAGGACACGGTAGAAGTGTCCCTGTGGGTGGCTGAGACTGTAAGTGTTGACAGTTACCACTATGGTACCAAGACTTCTGGATTCAATAGCAGTGGGTTTTTATTGTTAGATTGAAAGTGGATCCCTAAGGGTGGGATACGGTGACCACAACAATGGACTGAAGCCAAGCAACAACCATGGTTGCGCAGGAGTGGACAAGGTTCCATTCTCTTATACAGATGAGCCACAGCCAACTAACGCCAACTACTCTGTCGATGGTCATGTGACAACTTTCCCAGGTATGGAATTCTGTCCTTCTGGTGTAGTGGGTTACTCAGTGGACTGCTAACCTCAAGGTCAGCAGTCGAAAACCATGAGATGCTCCACAGGGAAAAAAACAAAACAAAACAAAAGGAAGGTTCTACTCCCATATCGGTTTCCAGTCTGTGAAACTCAGAGGGGCAGTTCTACTCTGTCCCTTAGGGTCGCCCTGAATCACAACGGACTAGATGGAGGTGAGTACTATAGCACTCGGAGCTCGGGTGGCAGCGGTGCTTCCAACCCACCAGTCACTCCACAGGAGAAAGAGGCTGTCTGCCTCCATCAACACGTACAGCCTGTACATTACTGCTGACATTCTGAGCACCCTGGTTTGCAAAAGGCTATGGGAGTAGTAACAGCCTAAAACCCATGTGCAGGGTCTGCACATAGATTAAGACTTCATTGAATTCCTTCAGATCATTAACCAAGAGTATAGATTATCTGGCCCTCGGGCAGACTGCTTTGGAGAATGGACTGCCTCCACCTCTCTCTAGCCAGCCAGGGAGGGGCAGTCTCTCTCTTAAGGACTTGCCTAGGTGTGCCCTTGATGGAGGTCACCTCTCTAGGGGGGTCACATAGTCATGAGCACACCCCTTGCAAGTCCCTCTATCTAACAATGTAGATGTCCCCAACGGTGGTCTGGTTCTTACTTCTGTGATCCCACTGCACCTGTGCTGTCCGATCTGCCCCTAGTCATACTTTGGTGACAATTTCCTTTGCCCACCTGTGCCCTTTTCTAAAGCTTTGTGTCTCAACAAACCCTCGGTCGCTATTTTAACCTCATGCTAACGGTCTCCCTCAACCGGAAGACATGTGGGTCATCTTGGTCTCTTTTAAGACTTAATAAATGTTCTCCTTAAATTACTGTATATTTGTGATGGGGCCTCTTTTGTGCCGTAAAACAAGCCTCAGAAACCCGATACCGGTCGCTGTCAGAGGGGTCCACGGCAGTGGATATTATGAAGAAAGTTGTTTTTTTTTAATTTTCCAAGTCTAAATATGAACTTCAATTTTTCTCCTTAAATCCTCCATCCTTCAGCTCTCTGCAATGTGAACTGGGCACAACTATGAGAATTCCACGTTGGTGGGAAAATAGTGTAAAGGCTGACTCTGGGGACTCTGAACCATTAAGCAACTGTTGAGGTGGCCCTCTGTTGGAGCTTGCCCTTAATGAGCAATTACCTTCGGAGGTTCCTGCCTGCCATCTTAAGCATGGGTTTCAAAAAACCATTAATAATTACCCTGAAATGGCAAGCATAAGGAAAATTTCGTCATCGGGTGGTGTGTCTCTGAAGACTATAAAAGCCACCTGAACTCGCTTAGCACTTCACACTTCTCCACTCCTTCTGGTGACTTCTCCTTGTGGCAACCAGGTAAGTGAGCTTTCTAAGGACTGCCTAAAGCTCTGTGTCTTCCATGGACTCCTTTCCCTTCAGACGGGTGTAAAAGGTCTGAGGGACTTTGTACCGGCTAAAGAGATGGCCAGTGATTTAGAGACTAGAAGCTGGAGCCGGGTGTTCCCCAGGGGTATGTCACACTCGTCATTAATGAAAATGTTTGGCTCCAGGGACATATTTCCTAACAGGTGTACTCTAAGAACAGACCTTTAACCTACTCCCTAAGATGACTCTCTCTCCAACAGGTTTACAGAGAAAGGCCGTTCCTGGAAAAGGAGGTAAGAGTCACAGAACGTTTATAGCTGCGCGTGTAATGTTATAACTGCACTGATTTATAGTTTTGATAACTGAACTATGGTTCTGCTATGAGCAATTAGGGGAAGCGGGGTGGAGGCCATCCCTGAACTCTCTGTGTTCTCTGACTTTGGGGGGGCGGGGGCGGGTAAGTGTCATATTTTCTTCAAAAGAAAAACGTTAACAGCCAAACACAAAAAGTATGTTGGTCGTTCTGGTGCCAGTGGTCAACTTCCACCAGCCTCTCTCCTGCCCTCAGTTCATTGTTCTCCCCACCTTGGCCAAGGAGATGGCCCCCTGGCTCGCCACCCTCAGTATCCACCTCCATTTCCGTTCTTGGCTCAGTCAGTTCACTTTCTTCCCAATCCACAGAACGCCAAGATGAGCATGAAGAAGTCTCCCGCGGAGCTGAAGAGCATTTTTGAAAAGTACGCAGCCAAAGAAGGTGATCCAGACCAGCTGTCCAAGGACGAGCTGAAACAACTAGTTCAGACGGAATTTCCAAACTTACTCAAAGTGAGTACCACCATCACCACCACCCCCAAAAAAGAAGAAACCAATCCAATGACAATTGAGTCAATTTAACTCATGGGTGTCAGAGCACAGCTATGTTCAATAGGGTTTTCAATTGCTGTTGTTTTTCAGCCACAGATTGCCAGGCCTTTCTTCCAAGGTTCCTCAGAGTGCACTCAAAGCTCCAACAATATCAAAGCACTGTAACTGTCTGCAGGATCCAAAGGGAGTGCCCAGTGAGCTTAACTTGGCCTCTGGTGGTGGTGTGTTGGGGAGTGGGGCCAGGGGAGGAACCAGGCAGGAACAGCAAGCAAAAATGAAAGGCTATGGCATTAAACAGGATTTGGACTGGGGTTGAACACACCACAGCCACATACAGGCCCTGCTGGAGACTTTGCTGGTTCGGCTCCAGACCACAGCAATAAAGTGGGGTACTTCCTCTCCCTGGTGCTAGGCCCCCTTTCCAGGGACAAGCTCCCTGAACAAAGGGATCAAAGCCTTCTACCACCACTTTGACCCCAGCACAGAGCCCTCCATACTGAACAGCGAGAGACTGGGGGCAGGGGTTATGCCACAAACTCACTGCCATTGATTCTTACCCATAGCCACCCCTTAGGCCAGAGTAGAACTGTCCCTTAGTTTCTGACAGCAGGATTTCATGAGAGTTGGCAGTCTCATAAAAGCCAGCTTGCAGTCAGCAGTTCAATGCCTGACCCACAGGGCACCTTTTTTTTTTAAGTCCAACCGTGTTAAAAATAGTCAGCAGTCACCAAATTTTGAACATAAGATTTATCCTGAAAAATGATTCTACAGGTGGATAGAAGCAATTGTGAGGATGGCACAGGGCCGTGTCTTGTTCACTCGGGTCGGAACCGGCTCGATGGCACCTAACAACACCAATAACAACAATGCAGAGATTTCAGAAGAAGGAAACGGCTCCAGGGAGCTAGGGTACCGCAAGGTTGCTCAAGGAAAGAGGCCAGGGAAGAATAGAAAGTCAGCCATTTGGGGGATCTTCAAGTGATTGATAGAACCCTGCAGTTCCTTCCCAGCTCCCTCATGAGATCAACTGTTATCAGATAGTCCCTGACCACGTCTTTTGAAATTCCAATCAAGCACACTGGGCTTCCCAGGGCAGGAAGAAAAGGGTTTGTACCTTCCCGTTGAAAACACAAACCAAAAACCCTGCAGGCCAGATTAATTTGGGACCGGGAAATTCATTACAGGGGTGTTGGGGGTAAGAAAACCAAATTGAGGGCACCCCAATGGGTCTCTCTTTATCATTGTGACTGATCTCCCATCTCTTCTCTCCCCTGCCCCGTCCTTTTTTTGCCAAACACCAGGGTCCAACTACCCTGGATGACCTCTTTCAAGAACTGGACAAGAATGGAGATGGGGAAGTTAGTTTTGAAGAGTTCCAGGCGCTAATAAAAAAGATATCCCAGTGATGGAAAAACCAGCTACCCTGAGCTCGGACAGTGCTCAGAAGCAGCCCCGGCCACCAGAGAGAGGTGGCCCATCTGCAAGGAACCCCTGCTGGTTTCCTCCTGCTCTGGTGATGACATTAAGTAATGTGAATAAAGACGTTCACTGATATGTCTCCTGTTGTCAAGTACTGATCCTCATCGGTTAATAGGTTTCTGAGTAATCTTAGTCCAATTCATCTGATTTTATAGCTGGGGGGTTGGGGGGGTGGACAACTCAGAATGTTCCATGATCTTGTCCAAGATGACCAAGATTCTGTCAGGCACGGAAAGAGGGCTGAAGTGCCAAACCAATCCCCTTGCTGCGCGACCCCTCTGCGGGACTAACTCGTTCCTGGCTCCCCTTCCCTTCTCCACAGCGATCTCGCATCTTTTTCCAATTTCAACTCCCCTGTCACGCTGTTCAAAAACTAGTGAGAAGCACTTCAAAAAATAGACTCGTCCGTAAAATCAGCTCCCAGCAAAAGTCCTGCTCTTTGAATGAATGATCCACACTGGACCACAAAACCAAGAGTTGAGCTCCACCACGGGGGGGTGGGGTCCTCCGGCAGATCAGCCAGCCTAGCCCCTCAGGGTCTAGGGTCTTGGTGGTTAAGGAAGGACAAAGTGACAAGGAGGACCGAAGTGGCCTCTAGCTCAGCTCTCCTGAGATGCTGGGATTTCTGAGCTGAAAAAACACCCAAATGTCAAGTTCCACTGGTTGAGTCCAGTTGGGGGGTGGGGGGGCGGTGTGCAAGGTGGAGAGGGCAAGTTTCTTTGACCCCTTACCTTATAGAGTTAAATATTAATGTTCAAGTTAGTCTAAGTTACTCATGTGCTCAAGCTGGTCCCAACAGCTGATCACAAAGGTACCCTGGAGACCAGATTTCTATTTCCCTACCAGGAAAGTCCCAGGGTGCGATAAATGGTTCACATGCTCAGCAGCTAACTGAATGGTGGGAGGTTCAAGTCCACCCAAAGGTGCCTCAGAAGAAAGGCCAAGCATTTGACTTCCCAAAAAATCATCCTTAAAGATGTTATGGAGCACGGTTCTACCCTAACACCCAAGGGGTTGCTGTGAGTCTAATCCAACTGTAGGGGCATCTAAATTCAGAGATGTTTGGTGTATGGAAGCAACAGCAAGGAGGTAGGAGCATGAATTCCATCTTGACATGAGACCAGAAAGAGCCCTGGTGGTGTAGTGGGGTACAAGTTGGGTTGCTAACCTCCAGGTCAGCAGTTCGAAACCACCAAGCTCTCCTCAGAAGAAAAATGAGGCTTTCTGCTCCCATCAAGAGTTGCCTTCCAGGAAACTTCACTGGGGCAGTTCTCCTACCCTGCCCTATAGGATCACTGAGAATCGGAGTCAACTAGATGGCTGTGAGTTTATGAGTCCAGAAGCCTTGTTGAATTTTAAAGTTGCTTTTTTTGAAAAGCTGTTTCTCTTTCTCTGCAATCTGACAGACGAGTAATGTCACAATCTCATCCCAGGGGCTCTTTCCTCTAAGTTTCCTCTAGGGTCAAACAGATGGAGCATGCGCCAGCCTACACCCAAGGATCTTAATGCTCAGCATCACACAAAAAACTTCCTTAGAGCCCGGGGTGGGGGTGGGGAGCCCCCTGGGGGTGGGGTGGGGCGGGCGCGGAGTCAAGGGGGGTGGGGTCACCAGCGGTGTCTCCAGGGCAGCGGACGGGAAGGGGAGGGGCCGTGGGCGGAACGCGC